CTTTGCCTCCACATCTTTCACCTTTTGGGAGAGTCTCGTTTCAGCATTGGCCAGATCTTGGGAGAGTTGCGAGATTCTCGCCTCAGCGTCAAGCACAGGCTGAAGGGCAGCTGCCACCTTTTGGGAGATGGCATTGGTCAATTGATCCTGGAATTTGGCCATCTGCTTTTCCGTAGTGAGCTGCTCGTTTACCATGACCTGATCATCTTCGACATTGCGCAAGTTGTCCATCTCTGAAATGAACGCTACACATGTCGCATCTTTGACAAACTCCATGAGGTCTGTTGACTCCATCAAGATCAGAGGGAGCAAGATCAAGACCGACTGGGACAAGAATTCATTCACCAGCAAAGAGCAAAAGAGTCGCAACTTTGGCCAATGATCAGAGTTGAAGAACTCTTGAAAGTAGGGCTCCCAAAAAGGTAGGTACTCACTATGCTCAAACGAATGCGCCCGAATTCGCAACACGGTACTGACAAGTGCACCACACATGTAGAAGAAGACTTGTTGATCTGTGAAATCTTCCACCTTGTCCAGACCAAACACTGTCATTGCAACAAGACAGTAGAGCATGAGCTGGACTGCCAACATTGCGAGACATTCAAAAAGATTCCCAGCATGAAGGTCCGTGTACACTGACACTGGCGGAAGCCGAGGGATATTTTTCTCACTTTGTGGCTTCACACACAATACCTTCACGAGGTCAAAGAAGCAGGGGAAGAAGAAATACACGAACACCACAAGAACGGCATGTTGAGGGGAATGCTTCAACATTGCGAACAGTAGAAGAAATAGCCCACAGCTCTCCAACAAAGTGCCGACCGACCACAACGTGCTTCGGAATTGTATGCTAGCTTGCCAAGCTTGCGGGACACTCCCGGGACAAAACCACTCAGTTTTGCGACAAAACCATGTAGCACAAAAAGCGCCAAGAAGAACGAGCCCAAGTACAAATTGCCATTGTTGAGCAACTTCTCCAAAATCATAGTCTTCGTCAAAGAGTGGTCTGTCAAATAGCCCCACAAGACTGAAGCCTGATGGCGAATCCATGGACACTTCAGGTGGTGCTGTGATTGACGTAGTCGATAGTGTTGTCACGTCCCATGGCGCTGCCGATGTCAGGAAAGCGGTTGTGGTTAACATCTTGCACACACCACCTCGATAAAAAACAACTACCAGTGAGAGACTGAATTAAGAACCCCCCTCGCCTGGTGAGTGACGCGAAGGCTCCCAACCCAGTCACGCAAGTGCTTGTCAATCTTGGCGCCCGGACAAGGAAGTGAAGAAATAGGTGGGCACGAGGCATGGCACAATGATGAAGAGACTGAACGAATAAACGATTCAAAAATATAAGCCGCAAACTCTAACTGCTGCGACCATCGTCCACCTCATCCAAAACCAAAAGCCCCATGCAAAGTTAGAACCAAAAAAAAAACACAACAAAACACAACAGCAACAACAATCAGCCTCCTCGTTGAATATCACCGAACAGAGTGATTTTTAGCACCAAAATTTCCCCAGAAACCCCCAGAGAATAACGACAAAGGCTCAACAAAAATTTGTGTGAGCCAAAAAAATCAACGAGGAGGTGATGAACAAAAACTCCCCAGAACCCCCCTTTTACCATTTTTTTTGGAGGCGGAGGCAATACATGTCTTGATCAAACAATGCATCTAAGGGGGTAGGTCTCTGGCATTTCCCCGCCACGGAGGGTAAAGATCAGGATGACGCGGCCTTTCTTGGCACGTCACGACCAGCCTAGTGGGGCAAGTTCCACGCACACAGCATTGAATCCCGTGCACGCGCGGTGCGCACGGGATCTAATGGCACTCCCAAGGCCCACCAGATTCACCATAGCTGGGCATCCCGCCAGCACCTTCCACGTCCTTGGAGCGAAGGTGGAACCGCCCGACCATGTGGAAACCTCGTTTTACCCACCACAGCGACCTGTTCCGCACACCTGTTCCTTTCTCACACGGACTGGCAAAGTCCAGCAGAAAAGCCGAAGGCTCTGAGCCGCCGTCCGAGTCAGCGGACTCCGAAGAGGACTTGGACCTGGGGAAGGAAGTCCCAAGCGCTGGAGTTGTACACGGGCCATATGTTGGGTGTATCAGGCATATCCCAACCTCACAGGGCCTCTCCCAACCTCCCAGGGCCCAGTGGATGATCATGGGGCCTGGTGGCAGGCCGACATCTCTTGTGAAATAGATGAAAACAGTGATGTTCCCTGTGGACCGGCAGACTGGGACATATATACTGCCCTCAGGAAGGAGATGGAAGGGACCAAATGTGATGATCAAACATAAGAGGCATCCATTCCAAGGTTCCAAGGGGTTCAGCCAGGCTCATCCATCCCATTTCATGAGGCGCCCATTGTCATTATCACAAGGGCTTCATCGTTCGGCACCCAGCCGAAAGCACCTCAACAAGGCGCTCACGGCTCACGCCCCAGAAACAGCGCACGGCAGCTTGCATGCGCACGGCGGATCCAGCCATTGGGGTGCTTTCTTCGGACCAGTTAGTTCGGCGTGGGGGCAATGAGCAGCTCAGCCCAAGTTCGGCGCATTGTTGCGGTCCCAAGGTGCTGAAAAGAGTAGTCAACTCGATCTATTTCACTTGAAAAGCATTTGCAACTCGAATTGGTCGAGAGCTGAGTCGTCCCTTGGTCCATGTGACCCACCGACGTGGGTCGTCCGCGTCGGACCCACCCACCGAAAGAAGTCCGGCACCGTCGCTGGGCTTGGGGGTCGCAGATTTAACACATAGCCCTATAGCCTTCCGTTTGACCATTACGGTAAGATCTGTTGTCAAACTAATAGTTCTTCGGTAAGAGCCATTAAACTAATGGTGCTTGGAATCCTAGGGATCGCGAGTGCTTGTTCGATGCACGCGAGGAACACCACAGCTAGCCACAGGCGGGCCTCGTCTTGTAGGACGATTGCTACTGACTCCGAAAAGAACCAATTCTCTTCAACAACCTCCCTGCAATACAACACGAGCTGCATTGGAGGGCTGATTTTAAGGATGGCTCAAACACCTACAGCACCTACTAATATATTACTATATTATATATATATATATTCTAAGTTGTTGAGAAGCACTCCACCAGGTGTCTAGAACCAACATGAACATAAACCAACTCAACAAAAAGAACTGAACAAGTTCCTTCCAGATTCACCTCTCCCCAAAACCTCTTGCGACCCGAAGAGCGGAGACCAGCTAACCTTCGCTACAGGAGCGGCTTTAGCACCTCAGCGGTCGACTGCTGAGTGACGAGTCCGCTTCCAGGAAAAGTTCCACGAGTGAAACCTGGTGCTTCTTGATACTGACCTTCCTCATCTTCCACACATGATTCGTAGGGTAAAGTGGCGGAATTTGGGGACACTTCACATATCTTCAAAGGAAAAAACAGTAGATTCAGTAGATGTCACCCATCTGTGACTCAGCACCGAACGGAGTACCCCCTCTCTTCAGCACCGAACGGACTCCGAATTGGACTCCCGCTGGGCGGAAACGCCCTCTGGGCAGACCGAACGGAGCTTCTCCAGCGCGATCTGCCGCAGCTTCTCCAGTCTGGGGGCGAAAGGAATGGCGAAAGGAAAGGACACGGGCCAAACAAAGCTGGATGACAAATGGATGAAAACGAACACAACTATACCTTTTTATGGTTGTGTATGTGTGCAATTGTGTGCATCTGGGATGCTTGACGTGTTTTTTGTGTGTTTTTGGTTTGCGCATTTTCCCGGCTACCAGCACAAGATCAAACGGAAATGTCATTTGTGCATGGGCGAGGACTGAAACCTTTTTTGTCTACTGCGATGTCGGCTTTTGTTTGAGATGGACTTGCCATACCCATCCGGGATGGACCCCAAAACACCGTCAAACCGCCTTCGTCTGCGGCGTCGGATCCCGATCCGTCAGCGCAGGGTCCAACAAGTTCTACGAAAGAGGGGCGAAGAGACATCACAATCACAGTCCATCAACAAAAACAGTGGTTTCAGTGGTCCGATATGGGCACCATTCCCCCAAGTTCGGTGACTTCTAAGGACCCCGATAGAACTGCCTGTGCCACGGGGTGCCTGTGCCATTTTCTTCAAGAGAAACGAAGACATCGGCCTGACTGCAAAGCTGTCGTCCTTCTCGTCGTTGTCGTCTTTCGAGGCCATGGCCGGCCCACATCGTTTGAACCAGGTGTCACTACTCAACAATGAAAGGCTATCTGCATGGCTTGGTCACTGGCCTTGTCACTGGCCTAGTCAGGACGACGCGCTATCTGATGCAAAGGTGCTTTTTGGCGCACACGCACTGTTCATCTGCCTTCCGTGAACACGTCCATGCGGGGTTTCCTGTTTTTGAGAAAAGCATATTTTAAGCAATTTAGAGCCAACTGATTGAGAACTGGAGGTCTTAAGGGCTTCTGCAATATCCGACTTCCAATGGCGGTATGGGTCAGCACCCTTGAGTCGTTCGGGCAGAGCTTAAATTGTTACACAGAAATTATCCCAGCAGAATTCAACAGGCTCATGAGTCATGAGGATAACTTTTGACGACTCGGACTGTTTGTTTCACAAAGGCACCCACATGTCACATGTTTTTTCCGCATGTCCTCAAGATTCTGCTTCGCCTCACTCAAACCATGTCCTTTGGGCTCTGACGCCCGGAGAGTATCAAAGCTTTCTCCTGTTGGGCTTTGTAAATCTTGGATTGGCTGGAGATGTAAAAGATCTTGCCAATTTCACAGGCCAGCAAAACACACAAGGAACACGCCATGGCCGTGGCAAGTTGGATCGGGCTAAGAGGTACAAACTCCAGAAGCTTGGCCAGTGGCGGGACGTAAACGAGCAAACACATCGTCAGCAGGTTGCATAGAAAGGTGCTGTTGAACCAGGCATTCTGGAAAAAGGCCATTCTCAGCACACTCTTCTCACTTCGGAAGCACATGATGGCCAAGAGTTCCCCAAACATGATGGTCACGAAGGACATGGTTTGAGCCAACCTCAAGCCATGATCCATGCAACTGATCCTCAAGACGGGTCGAACTTCTGAATCTTTCCAGCACCAACGGCTGACGTCCCTTGCGCAAGGCATCACCAAACCAGCTTGACCCTTCCAGTCGCCGTTGTCGATGGAGAGTTCCCACAGGTTCTTCGAGAAATCCATGCGCGGATCCAGCACCTCTCACCACGGTGGGCACGCGAAGCGCCCGTGTGGAAATGCATGTGGCTCGGAGAACACCCCCGCCAGTCGACATGTAGGACTCGTGTGTCGACATACTACACTCCAACGAACGCATCACATGGAAGTGGAAGGCCCCCCACCCTTCGCAAAAGGAACGTGCAATTCTCAGGGCCACGCTATACTTGAGAGAGGAGGGGGTGAACGAAAGGTAGCAGGCAATCACAAGCAACCCTGGTAGAAGTCCATGACGGGGTGAACCGGCGCAGGGGGGATTTGATCCCCCCCCGACGAACAGAATCAACTCTTACAGGACCAAACTCAATGCACAATCCCAACTCCTGATTGTAATACATTTTTGCTAAAGCAAGGAGAACTCAGGTAGCTCAAGCTACCTTTCGTGACATATCTACTGCATTTTCCCGGACCCAGACCAATGAGGTCCCTAAGACCTATAGGGGTCTGTCTTAAGACCGGTCTGGTTGCGACGTGGAGCCGAGCAGGCAGGGTGCCCTGCCTGTGAGCTTCCCCATTGATCCACCACACGAGCCTGCCACAGACCCTCCGCAACCCGACAGCTGCAGTGAAAGGGCCGGCTATCTGCTTCGTAGTGACCATTGGCGTCTTCCCAACCTGCAGACGGTACGTCTTCATGGTGATCATTTTGACGCATTTTGATCGCGAATGGATGCGAATGTCACATGGACAAACAACTTCACCTTTTTTGCCCAAGACGGTTGGCTTCAGCATACTCTTCAAGCATCACATTGATCAAGCTAAGCATACTCAACCTACTGAACCAAACCTCATGTCAATGTCCACACACCCTCAGCTAGCTTTCGTTGTCATACACGTGTACTGTACATGTGTTCCAGCCGCACCTGCGTGTTCGCAAACGCTCAGGCCATTCTTCACGTCCGTCACCTTGGAGCTTCCCATCAGCGCCTGGTTCGTGACGTAGCCGATGGATCCACTACAGCCCAGCATCAGTGAGGAATAGACGGCCACCGGGAAGAAGATCACAAAGGGCACCATTCGCAGCAACACCTCACCGTCGGGTTCAGGGCAGCATAACGTGGCATAACGTGGCACAACTCTTCTGACTCAGGGCGGGGTGCTGAAATTTCACCACGTGCTCGGTTGAACCGTTGAACCGCTCGGGGTGACTTGAGGTCTGCTGTCACCTGCAGTGGACACTTAGCTGTTTTGCTTGGGGGAAGCACTTCCCTTGATCCAAATTGAGCAGACCGCGCATCCACCCTACATGCTTCACTTCCCACCGATGCGTCCACGTGCGCCTGAGTCTTCGAGACCAAGCCTTTCTTCACATCGCGGGGAGGGACTTTCATCGCATAGGGCTCGGCCAGCTCGAAGGCCAAGCAAAGGGTGCTGGCCCCATGTGTGATGGCCATGTTCAGGAGTTGCGGTGTGGGCTTCAAGACTGGAGGCACTCCTGGTCGACGTCGTTGTGTCTCTGGAAAAGTCGAATCGACCCGATAAAAGACAAGCCATGCAACTGGCCCAGGCGGTTGTCTAGTCTATGCTGAAAGGAGCACCTCAACCTCGTTGCTTTGCTATGCTTTGCTTACCCCTTTGAGGAACCCATGTTCTCCTGGACTTCCGAACCAGCAACTCCAAGGCAATGGACATATGAAGCACCAGACGCTCTGTCTAGGAGCGAAACTTTGGGAAGCGACGACCCAACATGACTCCAATTACGGCCAACAACAGGTTGCACTTAAGTCCATCAGTCAGTTTCTGCCTCTGCACTTCACCGCTCACTCACCCTTCTTGACCAAGAAACAAGGCACATGCGCTAACACGAACACATACTACTACCACACCCATCACATCCCACCCGCCGGGAGCGCGCCAGTAGCGGAAGCAAGGCAACGTAAGTAGCTCATGGCGCTCCTAGCGTCATGGAGAGCAACAAGCTCGTGAGCTCCGCGAACTTCATGCTGAGATTCACCGTCAAATACTTCTGAGCATTCCCGAAGATCCGGCGACCCTCCTCGATCGCCAGCTGGATGGTCGAAAAGTTGTCATCCAGCAGGATCAGGTCGCCTCACTGAGGTTTCTTAGGAAAAAATCAAAACTAACTGAAGTGGATGATGCCAACTGAAGGAGGAGAACAAAAAAGGGGAGCCGTTCTTCATCTTCTTCAACCCTTCGTACGCACTGGTACGTAGGAGTACGTAGCTTCATCGTGGTTCATCCGCCATGTTTGTAGTCTTAAGCTGCAAGGTCACTTGCATTCTTCGTCACGGCAGTGCCAGTGATGCCCATCGCCACACCCACATCCGCCGCCTTCAGCGCCGGCGCGTCGTTCACTCCATCGCCCGTCATCGCAACGATATGCCCCGCCGCTCGCAGGGATTCCACGATGGCCACCTGGTGAGAACCCAGTCACATGAGGCCAGTGCTACTACTGGTAACACGGGCATCGCGGCATCCATCGCGGCATCGCTACGGAGCGTTCGGACGCTACGAACGTAGCTCCTGGCCGTACTACTAGTAACAAAAAGCTACGAGTAACAAGGGTAAAAGCTCCATTTGGGTAGGAATAAAGCTTTCACGGCTCCATCGTCTCTTCATCCTCCGGCGGTATTGAAAAATCGAAGAAACAGCCTGATTCTAACCCATGGGACAGTTGGGGACCCCTAGGGCCCATACAAACAGCGGAAGTGGGGGCTTGGCGCGCCAGGGCCATGCTTGCTGATCTTGTCACTCTTCCGTTCCTTTGTTTTTTTCGTTCTCTCATCCCTCTTCACTATCACTATGTACACCTATGTAGACCTTAAGCCTTAAGCCTTATGATTTGGATATGCCCACTTCACTCGCATCAAACTACTCATGACCGGAAGTCCTCTGGAACGGAAGTCCTCGGCAGGCCACGCGCCTTATCGGAGGGCTGCGCTCGGGCGAAGCACTTCACCCGGGAAGTGATCTCCAAAAGGTCCTCTTCTGACTTGAACTCCGGCTCGGGATCCTCCCACACCGCCCACGGGCGGAAAACGCCGCGCCACACAGGCTAGCAGGCACCAAAATGAACCGGGTGGCACAGAAACGGCTAGCAGGGATTCCGAGAGGGAAACCTATTTGGTGAATCGCTTCACCTTAAGAATGTTGGAGTGCGTCTTAAAATTTAAAATATAACTCCCAGTTCAGTCTGCCGAACTAAGAGGAGTTCGAGCTGGCTCAAAACTCCGATTATCCTCCCGACATCTCTCGTCCTGTGGTCCACGTTGATCGTGAATCGACAACCTTCGGGAGCCAGGCTTGGAAGACCCCGTGCTGCCGCGTGCAGCGCTGCCGCGGCTCACGGCGCGGGGCGGAGCCGCGCTCAGTAGCTCCTGCGCCTGCCGCGAGAGGCGCCGGTCGGGTTGCAGTCGGACGGGCTCATGGAGCTCAGCACAGCTGGCGGCCACCTGGGCAAGACGAAGGTGGCGGCCCCGGAAGAGCCATGCCAATGAGTGAACTGCAAGCACCATGCGCGCGTGCGGCAAGGGCGTGCAACAAAAAAGGCGAGCACGGCAAGCAAACAAAAGAGCACCAAAAAGAGGAGCAAGCCATGGTGGGAAAGGGTTCTGGTTGATGGGTGTCCTCTCTCTCTCTCTCTCGCGAAAAGGTGGAGAGAAGGAGTTGGAACTGGAGAATGGGGCCCCAAACATCCCCAAACAAAAAGGAAAGCATCACTTCACTCTGGTCCTTTTCACGATCGACCGATCCCCCAAACCAAAAAAACCTAATAAAGTGAGGTCCTTTTTGAGGCGACTTCGGCTTCAGAGCCGGTTCCGCCCAGCGACCGTTTCGTCATCATGTGGCTGCAAGAGCCCGATCTGCTTTCCAATGGCGGCGGCTGTGGCTTGCTGGTCGCCCGTGATCATCACCACGCGAATCCCGGCTTCTTGACAGGTGCGTATACTCGAGGGTACCGATGCGCGTGGCGGATCGTAGATGCCCCACAAGCCTCGCAGAAGTGACCAAGTGCTGGGGCAAAGTGATGTAGACTCTCGATTCTCGTTTAAAGTTTAACCCCTGTATAGAGAGGTTTTACCATCATTTACCATCCACATGGATCCAAATGGAAGGTCTTCTTGTTAAGCCAGACTCTACATTACCAAGATATCGTGGGACATGATGACATGATGACATACAAACTCCTCATTGAGAATGGAAGCAAACTCCCCGCGTCGAGAGGCTGACTAAAGTAAGTGGGCCTCGAGAGGCGCCATTTGGTGCCTCGTGCCTCACTTCCATGATCTAAGGGACATCCGAGTTTGTATCAAAATAGGGAGACCTCCCAACGACCCCCTAGAAGAAGGAAAATAGCACACCCACCCCACCGGCCATAAATTGGGACAGGCCAAAAGCCGTTTTGCTGAGCACACGCCATAGGTTTGAAGGACTTCTCAGGTTTCTCGCCCACTTCTCCAACCACCGGTCCCACCTTCCAAACCTCTAACCATCCTGCTGCCCAAACAGTGGGACAGGCCAAACCGGTCCGTCCAACAACGAGGGGCTCAAAGGACATGCCATCGCCGGGTCGTTCCAAATGATCTTCAAGCGCTCGTCCACGGTGGCCGCCGAACACATGGCCTGGACATCTGCCGGCGACAAGGGGCGGAGCACCAAGAGGAGACTTCGTAGAGCCTCCGCGGCGGCGCCAAGGCTCCATGACTTACAAACCATCAGACCCATCACCCATCTGCCGGCCGGCATGAGAGGTGAAACCTCATCTGTGGCTTTCTGGTTCCCAGGAATCGGATCGAATTGCAGCACATGAGTGCGGTTCGGAAGTTCAGCACGTGCTTTCCTACTCAGTAGTTGCCTGTGGCACTATCAGTTCAGATTAAAGGATCCCAAGCTCTTTATCTGTGCTGGCCCCCTCTGGATTCGACTTTCGCGCCCAGAGCCAGGCCCTTCGCACGTCCTACACATGGTTAAGGCCATCCTTTTGAGCTCCACACCACCTAACTATTATTGTGGGACTCCCATGGGAGGCCTCCCATCATGCTCCCCCCGCACCGTCCAGCCTTCTCCGCCAGCATTTGATTCTGTTGCCACAGCTTCTGCCGATCGGCGGAGGCGAGCGCCCCACCCGGAACCTGCAGCTCTCCCGAGGAATGCCGGGGGATCGAGCCCACCTGAAGGGAAGAGGTGTGGGCTTGATGGTGTCAGTCCTTTACAGTCCACAAGTCCAAGAAGCTACATCAAAAAGCAGGGGGATAAATCCTCCACATTCACCCTAGCAAACAAATCCCTTTTCTTCCATCACGCACCTTCTCGATCAACTGCTCCGGCGCACCCTTCACAATCGCCAGGTGTGTGCAGTTCTCAGGGCATCGAATGAAGCTTCCCAAGCGCGCTTCCGATAACACGTGGACCGTGGCCATCATCTTACGCCTCGAGCTAAAGGGCACCTCCAACTCGCTCACGGGCGCATGTGCCTGCAATAGTGCTCCGTGCGCTCGAGCTTCGTGATAGCCCGCCTTGGCGGCCGCCACGCGAAGGGCGCCATCCGTCATGTTGCCAGTGACTTCCTGGCGGTGCGCCGTCCGTCCTGCTCACGTAGCCAATCCCCAAACAACAGTTAGGGAGAAATGGGGGGAAGTTGCGCATGGCATGGAACCTGAAAATGACAAGTGCAAGTTGCAGCCAATCCAAGAATCCCAAATCCCATCGGAATTTTGAGAGAGGCTAGTTTGATGTGAGGCCAAGAAAGCACATGCCAAGTGGGTCTGAGCCATCAATCCATCCAAGCTTGTTGGCTTTCCGCCCGGTTGAGCCAAGTCAAGATCTGCAGCACCAGCTCCACCAGCAGCGCCAGCTTCGCCAGCATCCAGTTGGAATCGAAGATCATCGTGCAGCTGGGAGTGTGGATAGAGACCACCCTCGGGAGAGAAGCCTTTCAACGGATAGAATGACAAAATAGATTCCTGGCTGCCTTGGAGAGCGCTGGGCAAACAAGGGTCTACCTAGTCTGGGTGATTGAAAGTATGTTTCTAAGCCATCATCCCACACAACTCGCCCTCCCTGCAACTGGTGTGGTGGACGTAGCAGAGGGCTAGGCCGCTAGGCCGCTAGTAGTGTAGGGTACTAGGCCGCTTTCTGCTAAGAACAACTGACCAACGCCCGTTTGTGCACTAGCCGTCCATGTCCTTGCTAGGAAACTCTCCCATGACAACAGGGAAGTTCTTCCACAAGCCTCACCCCTTCACCGTGTTGTTTGGCCTCTCTGGCACTTCCTTGGCCACCTTTCTTTCTTTCATGCTTGCCAAGAACTCTGTTCGCGGCTGCTCCTTGGCCACCCCCGAAAAAATAAACACATCCATCCATTCTTCCACCCAAGCCACTTCCGCCGGCGGCCGCCTCCGCCCCGCTGTGGCACACGGCCGTGAGCATCGCGGCGGTCATCTTTCCCTACGAAAACCGAAAACCGGAGAAAACATCGGGAAACACGAAAGGCATCTTGGGGACACCTGCAGCTACCTGGAGAGACCAGTTATAGGGACCAAAAAGGTGTTCTAATTTTTCAGACCCCCCCCCCACATGTTTGGGTCTAAACATTCTAGTTCCCCTAAGTCAGTTGAGGGTTTATACTGGACGGGGATGACTTACCTTTTGCCTCCAGAAACGCTCGGAGTGGGCGAACCTCCCAATCCTCCTACCTCTACCCATACCCATTTGTCCATCCGTCCGGCTTACAGTGATCCGGCTTAGTCACAGTCCTCTACTTGTCCACAACGTCTCTCATCGACTTGTGGCACCTCGGTTAAGGTGCCCGTCTTGTCGCTACAAATCACCGTGGTGGCTGCGATGTAGTCCACCGCTGAGAGCTTCATCACCAGGCCACCTGAGCGGACCGGAAGGGCTGCTAGGATGCCCCGGTGGCACGGTGGCACCGGTGGTGGTGGCTGCTCTTGAAGCTTTTCTGGAATACTCTTCTTGAGATCCGAGGTAGGTGCTTGAATCATGTCAGTTCTCCCAAAAAGACATGTAGAAGAACGACTTTCTTTCAAAGACTCGCCCACCCCGCTCCGCCAGGTCCATCTTTGAAAAGCCGAGAGGCCCTTCTCAGCCATCTTCTTGGAGCTCACGCGCATCATGACCATCAGGACCATCGGTAACCCATGGGGTACCACGGACACAGACATGATCAGAGCGCGTAGGACCGCTGATTTCAAGAAACACTTGGAATCCTACGGTGCCAGAGGGGTGCCAAGTGTAGGACAGAAAAAACAATGTGTTCTTCCTTGGACACGGCTGTCTTGTTTCAAAAAGAGCAGCGGCGGTTGCCCCAAAAGTGATGGAACAAAAGAACGGTCCATGCATGTCCATGTCCAAGTTAAGCATGGAGTTGAACAGTGAAACGTCTTGAAGAATATTGAAACTGGCAAGGCCTGCTGGTGGAGGAATACCATTCCCCCAACCCTCCTTACATGATACGGAATGGGTCCTCACTGGGGCATGGCTTGGCTGGATCCTCATATTTGCTCACGAAGGCCAGCGACGTGGCCGCCAGCATCACGAAGACGACCACCAAGGACAAGGTCCGTCCAAGCACATTCACTGAGACCATCAAGGGGCTCTTGTCCATCAAGGTCTTGGATTCCTCGGCCCGAAGCTCTTCAGAGAAAATCTTTTCCACCAAACTGACCTCGAAAAGGCCTCCCTCCCCCAAACCCACCAATTTGGGGAGGGAGCGGTTTTTTGAACACCCCCGCTGGCTGCTAGGAGATGTATGTTTGATGATCGGTGGAGAAGTACCGGAAAAGAACAATATCAAGCCTCCACACTGACTCCTCCTCTTCCTAAACCAAGGGCAACTTCAACTAGCCACAAAACACCGGCAATCCTGCCAGCACCCAGCAAAATCACCCAACCAACTGCACTACCTCAGCAGTGGTGTCAGACTCAATTACATGGCCTGGAAGACTTGGACGCCCCGCCCAGGGCTTTCCGGCCCGCCCCGGCCTGCAGGCGTTTGGCAATAATGCCCAACTGTGTGCGCATCCCAGTGTCCACGACTTCACCTCTTTCAAAGAGGTCGACCCGCGACCGGCCACAGCAGGGGAAAAAACAGAAAGAAGACACCGCACCAGGAACGTTTGGGGTTTGGGGTTCTACAGCTTTGAAAGCGAAACCTGGAACTTTTGGTTATATCACTATCACCGTTTAAATCTATGAACCGGAGGCTTGTAGTTCAAATTTTGAACTCTGGAAACCGCGAAAAAACAGTTGCTGAACACGGAATCTTAGCATATCTTAGTTCTTCTTTCCTTGTTCTTCCACCGGTTTCTTTTTCAAAGCCGAAAACGTTACAAACCAGATCTCTTCCGGTGCGCCTTTCCCATGGCCGCTGGTCACCGACGTGGCGCTGTAGACCATGTGGCTCCGGAAGGGCGCGTCGCTGGTGTCGGTCTCCGTGGACTTGCTCACGTCGCGGGGCTCCCCGGTGAGGATCGACCTGAGGACGCGGCGGACGTGGCGTGCGACGTCGAAATCAGGAAAGGAAAGACCGGACGATGTGGAGCTGAAAACCCGCAACATGGATTCGGTCTCCGAACTAGAGGGTCTCACAAGCAAACCTCAGGAGCAAGTCTACTGGCTTAGTCACCCTGGAACTAACATGGAAGTGGAGGAGCTCACCCCCTGTTTGTACAAGAAAATGGCCACCAACTTCCATGTTAACTCAGGGATTGTAGGGCATCAATCGTTTCGTGCCGAGCCGCTCGTTGGTCTTCAAGTCGACCGCCTCCAGCAAGACCATGTCGGCTGGTCTGGGCGTCGCACGGTTGGCATGAGGAGTCGCTGCGTGAAACATCATCCATATAATCCATGTATCAACTACTGTAGAGTTGTTTTTTTTCAGCTTAACTGTTACAAACAGAAACCCACAAGAGTGAATCAACATGAACCAACTAGCTGCTGCAGCCAAAGTGTTCTGAACCCAGTTTTCTGTGATATTGTGTGTCAGGGAGATTCGCGCGACGTTGTGTTTCAAGTGACATCACCTGTGGACCCAACACCGATGCGGAATAGCTGGCAGCCGCAGCACATGTGTGGTATCAAAGGGGAGGTTGGTCTTCAGCAGTTTCCATGAGATAGGTTCCGCTTTCAGTGACGGGGTCCCAAAACCTCCCCAGAGTCATCAGGGCAAGCCAAACAAAAACCAAGTACTCTTTTGCAATCTCTTGACCGCTCGGGGTGCGAATCAAGTGAATCAACATGAACAAATTCTGCAGGCGGGGGTGCAAAATTCAGCAGGCGGGGGTGCACTTTTTTGTGCTTCTCTAAGTATATAAGCCAAATTGGCAAAAAGCACACTGAATAGAACGAAAAGTTGCACGAAGCAGAACCTTAACAAATTGTGATGGCTCACAGTCTGTCCGAGGGTCTGAGGATGCGGAAATTTGGAATGGGAATTATGGACAAAGATCACCAAAAGCTGCCAACTGAGTAGGAAAGATGTGCGAGCAAGCCCCAGAATGAGCCGGAAGAAAAGCACGAAAAGTTGCACGAGCAAGCGCACAAATGAGCACGAAGAATAGCATGAAAAGTTGCACGAGCAGGTGCACAAATGAGCACGAAGAATAGCACG